CCCAGCACAGACACGATGGGGGGAGAGAGAGAGAGAGGAGAGAGAAAGAGAGCGCAGGGGATGGGGTTGGAATAGAGAGCTCCAGTGGGGAGTGAGCCCCAGCACAGACATGATGGGGGGAGAGAGAGAGAGAGCGCAGGGGATGGGGTTGGAGTAGAGAGCTCCAGTGGGGAGCGAGCCCCAGCACAGACACGATGGGGGGGAGAGAGAGAGAGAGGAGAGAGAAAGAGAGCGCAGGGGATGGGGTTGGAGTAGAGAGCTTCAGTGGGGATCGAGCCCCAACACAGACACGATGGAGGGAGAGAGAGAGAGAGAGCAGGAGATGGGGTTGGAGTAGAGAGCTCCAGTGGGGGTGTAGAGTAACTCCAGATCTGCAGTTATAGTTGCATCTCTGACTTTGACGCAAACAATTACCATAGAAACACGAGTAGGAAGTTATTATCAGAGCAGAGTTTAGGCTTTGACTTTGACAGTAACTTGTTGGCAAATGGAGACAGACTTGACTGACGTACATTAATCTCAGTCACAGCGTAAATGGGCATTTGCTTCACAGCCATCAGCAACGGCAAATGTTCACACTGCAGACAAGAAGCTGTAAACAGATGACTCACACTCTCTCGTTATCTCTCACTTTCTTTCTCTCACTCTCTCTCTCTCGCTCGCTCTCTCTCTGTGGAATGCTAGCAAACTAAGCCACCTTTTCTTTACAAAGTGAGGAGGTAACTATCTCTCGCTTCTCCATCAATCCATCAGTCATCATCATCAGTCGGGGTCTCTGATCTCACAGTCCAGTGCAGCACTGGGGGGAGAGAGAGAGAGAGAGACAAATTGTCCTTCAGTTAAACCTCCCAGTCCGCGCCATGTTAAAGATCTCCCGCGGCTCTGTCGGGAAAAGTGAAGGGAGTTTCTCTCTCCGTGTCTTGGTCAACAATCCCCTGGATAAAATCACTCGCTCTCTTCACGCCTGTTTAAGGGATGTCACCGTGTAAATTGGCTGCTGCATAATACACAGTCACTACACTGTGAAGTGAATCCAGAGCTTTACCACCTGGCTGATCACGGTGACGGGTTTCCGTGTGTGTGTGTGTGTGTGTCAGACCCGGATCTGTATCAAACACAAAGTTTATTTATAGATTCACTCTCGTCACCTACTTCCATTTCGGCTCCTGAATGATTTCTGTGGGAAAATCATCAATAAATCAGCAGTCGCACTGCGAGTCTGTCACATCTCACCATCTGCCTCTGATTCCCGCTGCTTGTCCAGCTAGGACCAACCTCCCCGCTAGCTAGCTAGCTAGTTAGTTAGTTGGTTGGTTGGTTGGTTAGTGCTTTGGCTGCCGGGTTAACAGGAACAGGATTCCAGTTCCTGCCGATGTCTGAGCCGGGCCGGGCTGGGCTGCCATCAGCAGTGAGCGCCCTGGGACACTGCGGCCCCTCCTGGCTCAGGAACCAGGGGCTAGAGACCGTCCCGGAGTGGGGGGGGCTCAATTCCCACATTGTGTCACCTTGGGGCCAGTTCAGCTCCGAGGAGATCCCATTTACCCCCCCACCCCCTCCCCGTGTGTGCCTGTGTGGTGGGGGGAGAGGGAGCTTGAACCCACAACCTTCTGATTCGGAGGCAAGAGAGAGCGACTGAGCCACAGGATGAGTGAGTGACAAGTTGGGGAAGAAAGCAGATTAATGGACAAGTGCGTTTAGCTAAATGAGCCTCAGTCAGTCAGTTTCTCCCTCTGCCCCGTCCTCGCAGTGGGACAGTGTGATCAGTCGGCTGTGCAGTCCCCCCCCACACCAACCCCCCACTAACTGCTGACTGTATCACTGCACCAAGATCACCCCCCACCCCCCCCCCATGCACCAGCAATGACGCACATCAAGGGTTTTTTGCAAAAGTGAGTCACCCGCCTCAGGAGATCAGCAACTTCACCATCAACTGCAGAAAGCTTTCCTGAATACCAATCTGTGTGTGTCTGTGTGTGTGTGAGAGAGGCTTCCTGAATACCAATCTGTGTGTGTGTCTGTGTTTATCCGTCTCTGTCTCTTTGTGTATATGTGTGTCCATCTGTCTTTTTGTGTGTGTGTGTCTGTCTGTCTGTGACTGTGTGCGGTGGGGGAAAGAGATGGAGAGAGAAATCAGTATCATTAATTACCTGTTATAAACCAGCTTCCTGTTTAACCTTGATGTTCTCAGCTGCTCAGTCTTATTGCAATAATTGTGATTAGCTCCATCTCCATCAGGCCATTCCCTCCTCCCCATCACGAGATTGTGGGTTCGAGCCCCGCAACGAGCTCAGTCCAGGCTGACACTCCAGCATAGGGCTGGGGGAAGAGAGAGATAGAGAGAGAGAACCACATTGTCAGAGTCGTCGACCTTTTCAGATGAGACTTTAAACCTCATTCACTCACTCCCTGTTCTGGGCGGACATTAAAGATTTCCCGCAGTCCTGTCAGGGGGAAAAGAGAAGTGAGTCTGTGTCATACGAGGCAAGAGAAGGGGAGAGAAAATAAAAGGAGAGAGAATGAGGAGAGAGAAGAGGAGACCACACATACACAGACACAGACACACACACACACACTCAGACACACACACACATACACATACATACAGACACATACACAGACACACACACACATACACAGACACACACACACTCAGACACACACATACATACACAGACACACACACAAGTCCCTGACCCCAACCTTCTCAGAAGATGGGATCTATTCTCGTTCTCTTATTCAGCCCTCAGGGTGACAGAAAGCTGAAACAACAGTTCTCCGTGTCGTGCGTCGTATTAAACACGACAGAATTGTGTCTGTGGGGGAGGGAAACCGAACTCAAAAAACAAACCCAAATCGCTGGAATTGACATCTGAGAAAATGTGCTAAAAAGGATGGAGGAAATTCAGATTAAAAGGGTTTTCTGACTGATTTATAATGATGTTCATAAGTGAGTGGGTCTCCTCTCCGTGCCACAATCATAACAGTAAACCTTACACGTCACACAGTCTTTTCCGTCAGGAGGACGTGTCAAAAGCCACGTTTCACCCACACAATACACAGTCACTACACTTTACAGTATATCCTGTGAAGCGCTTTGAGAACCTCAAAGACAAGATAAGGTTCTGCGTCAAATACAAGGATTATTATTGTTGTTGTTATTAAGTTTGAATCAGGGCGGGGCGCGGGGGGGGTGTAGGGGGTGGGGGGTGAGCAGGTCTGAGACCAGAGCAGGAAATAGCTGGGGGGGGATCAGGAGCTGCGACTGAGTCTAACTGCGTAAGTGATGATGTCACTGGGTCCCTGAGCTGATCTGTGGGTCAGGAATATCGCACATCGATGGAGATTCGTTCAGAAAAAAAACTGTGAATTGTTTTTGTCAAAGGCTGAGCAGGAAGGTGGGGGTCAGCACCCACACTGAGGTGGAGGGGGAAGGGGGGGAGAGAGAGAGGGAGAGGGAGAAAGCGGGAGGAGAGTGGGGTGGGAGGGGGAGAGATAGAAGAGAGGTAGTCGGAGAGGGGGAAGGAGAGAGAGAAAGGAGATAGTCAGAGAGACAGTGCACTTGTCTCAGGGAGGACATTACCAGTTGCTGTGAAAAGCGTCTATCAATGGAGGTGGGAGATCTCACCGCAGTGAGAAAGACCAGCACAGGCTCTATGTCAGCTCAACACCCACAACACACAACATACAACACGCACAACGTACAACACACACAACATACAACACACACACAACATACAACACACACAACATACAGCACACAGCACCACACACAGATAAGATAAATGTGCCACACAACAACAATATGCAGCCCCCCACCCCCCCACGTAGGGCAGCGGCTCCGATGTGTGGGGCAGGACCCCATCTCCTGCTATTATCTTGTTACTTTGCTTGTGGGATTAAAAGATCAACTGAGCCTCTGGAACAGGCTGGGAGGGCTGAATGGCCTCCGCACGCACCAGTTTTCCTACATGATATTTGCATCTTACAGAGAATCTACAATCCTCTTGAGGCTTGGGGGTGGGGGCAGGGTGGGGGGGAGGCTTGGGGGGTGGGGGGGAGGCCTGGGGGGGGAGGCTTGGGGGGGGTGGGGGGGAGGCCTGGGGGGGAGGCTTGGGGGGGTGGGGGGGAGGCCTGGGGGGGGGGGGAGGCTTGGGGGGTGGGGGGGGAGGCCTGGGGGGGGAGGCTTGGGGGGTTTGGGGGGGATACCTGGGGGGGGAGGTTTGGGGGGTGGGGAGGAGGCCTGGGGGGGGGGAGGCTTGGGGGGGTGGGGGGGGGGGAGGCCTGGGGGGGGGAGGCTTGGGGGGGGGGGAGGCTTGGGGGGGGAGGCCTGGGGTGGGGGGGGGAGGCTTGGGGGGGGTGGGGGAGGAGGCCTGGGTGGGGGGAGGCTTGGGGGGGTGGGGGGAAGCCTGGGGGGGGGAGGCTTGGGGGGGTGGGGAGGAGGCCTGGGGGGGGGGGGGGGCTTGGGGGTGGGGGGAGGCCGGGGGGGGGAGGCTTGGGGGGTGGGGGAGGAGGCCTGGGGGGGGGGGGGAGGCTTGGGGGGGGAGGCCTGGGGTGGGGGGGGGAGGCTTGGGGGGTGGGGGAGGAGGCCTGGAGGGGAGGCTTGGGGGGTGGGGGGAAGCCTGGGGGGGGGAGGCTTGGGGTGGGGGGGAGGCCTGGGGGGGAGGCTTGGGGGGTGGGGGGAGGCCTGGGGAGGGGGAGGCTTGGGGGGTGGGGGGAGGCCTGGGGGGGGAGGCTTGGGGGGTGGGGAGGAGGCCTGGGGGGGGAGGCTTGGGGGGGTGGGGGGAGGAGCTTGGGGGGGTGGGGGGGGAGGCTTGGGGGGTGGGGGGGGGAGCTTGGGGGGGTGGGGGGGAGGCCTGGGGGGGGCGGGACTTTTCCTTCACCTTTTCCAAAAGGATGAATGAAATGGAATGAAATGAATGAATGAAATGGCTGACGTCAATGCCGGATGACGTCATGGGCTATTTGGACTGGATATAAAGCGCCATTCGCTGTCTCTGGTGCTGAGAGCGAACGGGAGACGGGGTTTCGCGCACGGACCGGATCCCAGGGAAACAGCGACCGCTCACACCGCCCCCCAGGTACGATCTCAGCCCAGATTATACTGTTATATTTTTACATCATCATCACATTGTGAATTGCAAATATCTCTCTCTCTATTTATTTCTGTGTCACTGTCACTGTCTGTGTCTCTGTCACTGTCTGTGTCTCTCTCCCCTCCTCCTTCTATGTTGGTTTCGAGAAAAAAATTGGGATTTAGGTTTTTTTAATATTATTTAATTGCTACCAACGTGGTGTGTGTGGGGGGGGTTGGGGCTGATTCTCTCTCTCTCTCCCCCCCTCTCCTTCTCTCTCTCCTCAAAAAAAAATATAATGTTATTTATTAATCTTCCGCAGATGATGTCGGGTGTCCGCGTTCTGCGCTAAACACTGCCCTTCGGAAGCTTTAAACCCAAGATGTGATCTGTAACAGATCACTGCAGAGAGGGCGAGCGGTATCCTTCCCTTACCCCCCCCCCACACACCCCCCCCCCCACACCCACACACACCCCACACCCCACACACACACCCCTCTCTATCGCTTTGTCGCACCTGCACACAAAACGCCGAGGTTTTAATGACCGCCCCCACCCTGGAGAAGCCAGAGATCAGGGAAACAAGGGCTTTTGTTACCCCCCCACCCCACTCCCCCACCATAAACCACAGCCCCAGGGAGGAGAGAGATACCCGCAGAGAAATAATTGCTTTTTAATGCGTTTCTCACTCGATTTCATTCTTATGTTGCCCCCCCCCATATAGCTATTAGATTGTATGTGTGTGAGTGTGGGTGGGAGGGCGGTTCTGGCTTAGTTAAATTTTACTCACTAAAATGCTTCACTCGCCCCCTCCCTCCTCCCTCTTGTCTCCTCCCTCTCTCTGTCACCCCCCCCCCCCCCCTCTGGCTCTCACTGAGTATCCCTGGGTTGCCATGCCAACCAGGTCTGGTCTCCCCTGTATCCCGGGTACCACTCCCTGACACCCAGAGCCCGGCTGCTGTCACAGGTTCCCATCACCTTCCTCCGGTCGTCAGCAGTTACCACAAACAGCCGTATTATTATCATTATTTTTTGGGGGGGATCATTACCCCCAGAAAAGTGATCCCCCAATCGGCTAACAAGCAGGTTCCTACTGACTGCTGGTGAACAGAGGCGTGTGTGTGTGGTGTGTGTGTGTGTGTGTGTGTGTGTGTGCGTGTGAGTGACTGTGTGTGAGTGACTGTGTGTGAGTGACTGTGTGTGAGTGACTGTGTGTGTGTGCGTGTGAGTGACTGTGTGTGAGTGACTGTGTGTGTGTGCGTGTGAGTGACTGTGTGTGAGAGACTGTGTGTGCATGTGAGTGGTGAGTGACTGTGTGTGCGTGTGAGTGTTTGACCATGTGTGCGTGTGAGTGACTGTGCGTGCGTGTGACTGTGTGTGCGTGTGAGTCACATGTGCATGTGTGTGAATCACATGTGCGCGTGTGTGTCACATGTGCGCGTGTGTGTCACATGTGCGTGCGTGTGAGTGACTGTGTGTGTGTGTGTTGAGTAAGGAAACTTGCCTAAGGTTTTTCCTGCCCACCCCCACCCCCGGTCCTCTCGCTTGCGAGACGAGGGGTCTAACTACTGATCTACAGGACACCGTCAAAACCACAAAGAGCTGCCACATCGCCTGACAATCAGCCGCGTACCATTATTTTTATTGACTTGATGCTTTTTAAGACCAGGCAGAATTATTGCAAACTCTTTTGTTTAGAATTTGCTGCCACAATTCACCTACAACACATTTACAGTAAAATCCAGTCAAAGGACTTTGAACGACTATCAAGCTCTGTATCAACTGATTTTTTTAAAAAATAGTAGAATTGCTAATTAGAAATCAGGTTTCCTATTTATTACTATTGTTATCAATGACAATAACTAATAATAATCCGAAAGTGAGACAAAGAAAGAAAGATGAGAGGTTTAACATCTCATCGAAAGGACTGTGTCTCTGACAATGCGACTCTCTCTCTCTCTCTTTCAAGAGTGTGAGCCTGGACTGTGAGTTCAAAGTCCCTGATGGGGGGGGGGGGGGTTGGGGGCTTGAACCCACAACCTTCTGACTCAGAGGCGAGAGCACGAGAGTGTCTGAGCCATAGGCTGAGACCTAAACGCTCAATTCATAGTTCGTGAAGATCGACAAGTGGCTGCCACATTTTGCCCATAAAACACACAGTCACTACACTTTACGGTGTATCTTGTGAAGCGCTTTCAGGCGTCTCAGAGACATGATAAGGCGCTGGGTGAAATGCTAGGATTATTATTATTAAAGCAACGGGCACCTTGTTAACCCTTTGGCTTTGTGGTGTGATTGACAGTGTCTGCGAGATGACTTGGAGAGGACCCTTTCCAGCCTCTGTGCTGCTGGTACTCACCCTCCAGCTGCTGTGTCCTTGGCCGAGCACTGCGGCCTCTCTGGCCCCTCACAACGGCTCTGTCCGGGCAGTGACGGGAGTTCAGGATCGAGCCGCCTTCCCACGGGATGTGAATGGGTCGGAAGAGCAGGAGCGAGGGAAGCATCTGCAGGTCCGCTCCCTCCCCATGACCCACCCCAACATGGACACTGACAATCAAGGGGATCCGTTCAGGGACATGGACGCCAAAGCCTTGGCCACGATCCTTCTCCAAGCTTTGAAAATAGACGATGAGAAAACTGGAGAGAGGGAGGGCGAGCGAGAAGCCGGGAGTCTGTCCCTGTCAAACCCCTCGATGTGGCGCGAGGCGGACAAGGATTCCTTGGTTGAGAACGTGAAGAGTCAGACGAGGAGTCGGGAAAGTGCCCCTCAACGGCAGGTCATGGCCTGGGCTCCCGAGAGGGAGGACGGGGGTGAGGTCAGTCCTCAGAGCATCGAGCAGATGGAGGCCATGTTACAGGAGCTGGAGAAATACAGCACGGCGACCAAGCGGGAGAGATCCAACACTGCCCTCCGCTCCGCAAAGACCTCCCGGCCCATCAGCAAACAGCCAGAGGACAGCAGTATGTTGGGGAACATGGATGACATTGAGGAGCTGGTTGGAGGGATGGAGAAAGACACCGACTATAACGAGGAGCACGAGGTTATGCAAGAACCAGCCAAACGTGCGGACAAGTCTGTGTCCAGGTTCCAAGCCGGGTCCTTGAGTCGCCTGGGAACTGGGGAACCAGGGCCAGACAAGGCCGAAGAGGAACAGATAGCGGACATCACCTCTGACCTCCTGTTACAGTATCTGCTTAAAGGGGGCGACATGGCGGAGCAGGAAGACAGCGCCAAGGAAAAGCTTACTGACGGAGAGAGGAAGAGGAGCGATGAAGAATGGGAAGAAGATGTGGCTGAAGAGAAGAGATCGGACGAGGAAGGTGGTGATGATGATGATGATGATGGTGGTGACATGGATCCGCAAACTATAGACCGGTTGATCGAGATCTCCAGCAAACTCCACCTTCCGGCCGACGATGTCATCGATATCATCAACGACGTGGAGAAGAAAAGGAAAAACTCTGTGGAGAAGATGGAGCCGACAAGACACCATCACACGACCCCCAGGGACCGGATCAAACCTGCTCCCGGCCGGTCAGACCAGCGTCAAAAGGTCTACCTCCCCACTCGCCATCGACCAGAAAAGCCACGACACTGGTCTACCAGCGACATGGCCTTACAGGACCTGCTCGGGGCAGACAACGAGCTGGACTATGGAGCCATGCCCCTGGTCTACCCCAGACGTTTTCACCTCCAGCAGAACCTTTACCCCAATTACATCCGGCCCCGGGTTTACCAGCCTCGACACAGCACTTACCGCTATCAGCCCAGCCCCTCCCTCCTCCAGAACGAAGATTATTACGATGATGATCAGGCCCAGGACAAGGAAGAGGAGCTGGAAAACTACATCGAGAAGATCCTTCTCCAACACCCTGAGGTTTTCCAGTAACTCGGGTCTCACCATCATTACCCTCATCAGATGTTTGTGGTTCACTGAGATCATTGTGTGAGTCAGACAACCCGGTAATACATTCCCCCCTCGCCCCCCCCCCCCCCCCCCCCCTCCCCACACCCACCCCTAACACAGAATCCCTTTCATTCAGGTTTAAAAATACTTCCCTTCTTTATTTTCTAATTTTCTCTCCACCCGACAGTCCCGCAGGAAACCAGGAGAGGTATCAGGAGCGGGAAGCCCGGCAGGTTTCCCCCCTGACCCACAGCCCTCCCCAGGAGACCAGCAAACTGAGCACCAAGTGGGATGGGAACCAGCGATGAGGCTCCTGACAATATCACCAGCCAAGGGGGATGTTGTACCTGGGTTGTTTGTCTCTACTCCCCCCCCCACACACATGATCAATGTTGTGTTACTGGTTTGATATCCGTGTTGATCATCAGTATTTGTAGCAAAAAGACTGATTGGAACTGACCGACCCCCGGAGTAAAGCGGGGCAGACAGACAGGGTTCAGTGGTGATTGATTACACACAGCCTCTCAGCCCCGAACATTAGCATTCACAGCCATTAAAGGTGGACCATTCGTCCATAAATACATAAATACAAGAGTAAAGGTCTAAGAGGGAGATTAGGAGGAAGGTTTTCACACAGAGTGTGGTGAGAGAGGGGTGGGGGAGAGGGGAATAGAGGGGTGGAGTATAAACACTGACATGATTGGGGGCAAAAGGGCAGTTTGTGGGACACTGTTGTGTCCAATTGGCTGCTGTGTTTTGCCCACAAAATAGTTACTACACTTTACACTATATTCTGCAAAGCGCTTTGAGACATCTGAACAAAGTGATAAGGCATTATATCAAATGTAAGGGAAAAAAGAGGAGGGGGGGGGGCGAAGAGAGAGAGACCAATATTCTCTTTCAATGGGGAACTGTGGAGCTAAAAATGAGTTGTGTGCAGGGGAATAGGTAGGAGGGAAGGGCAGGTCAGTGGGATTTTTTTAGTGGGGGAGAAGGGGCGGGGGAGAGGCGTGTTTCTAATCGGTGTAAGCATGGCTTTTGTGCATTCACATTGTCAACTGTGGTGTTTCCAAGGTTCTTGAGACAGAGAGGGGTGAGAAACCGAGAGAAAGAGAGAGAGAGAGAGAGGCAGAGGGTAGGGAGAATGGCAGAGACCGGGGAGGGGTAAGAGAGAGAAAGATGGTAAGAAAGTGGGAGACTGTGGGAGAGAATAAAAGGCAAACTGCACATGATGTATTATTTCATTGTAACTTTGGAATGTGCAAACCTGTTCCTCACACAGTGTATCCATGTCTTGTAAATATATATATATATATAAAGTGTTTGGTGTATCAGCATCTCACATGTTCGCACTTAATAAAAGCCAGAGTTGTAAATAGCACCAAGGGGCGGAAATCCAGGACTAGTTTTGCTATGAATAAAGGCAAATATTTTACTGAAGAAGAGTCTTTTTTTACCGTAATCACAGCAGGATGTGAAGGTGTGACAGCCCTCTCTTGGCTCAGTAACTCGCCTCCGAGGAGGAGGTTGTGAGTTCGAGCCCTCTCTCCCCTCACCCCCCCCCCCCCCCCCCCCCAGGTGGGGGAGAGAGAGTTAGAGAGCGCCATGTTGTCAGAGAAGCAGCCTGAGATGTTAAACCCTCACTCATTCCCTGTCTGTGCCCTGTTCAGGGGGATGTTAAAGAGCTCTCTCTGGCGCTGCTTCTCTCTCTGCGGCCGATAGATAAAATCACTCACTGGCTTCACGGCTGTTTGTGGGGACGTCGCTGTGTTTGCTCACCAAAAACATACGATCCTGCAAAGCATTTTGAGACGTCCTCCTGAAGTGATGACACCTTGTGAAATGCATGGCTTATTATTAGTGCTGCTATAACTGCAGCAAGCCAGCTCGGAAGTTAATACTAAAAGGAGACAAATTGCAGTCCGGAAATATGAAGAAAATCAGAGTAAATCTCGACCCAGTTAAAATATCTCAACCACGATTCACGGCAAAGCAGGAGTGACCGTGTAGATGATCACAAGCGGTGCTGATGATGGTTTATTTGGGGAAAGGGGGCCACCAGGAGGGGTTAGAGCCTCAGGAATGCAAGCGGGAGGGACAAGCGAGAGGTTAGGAAAAATAGCATCACTCATTCCCACCTGGAATCAGAGGTCTCTGATCAATAGTCGTTCAGACGGGCGTTGGGTAAAGATCCGAGGGGTGACACCATCGGGGGACGTGGGGAAAGGAGAATGGAGAAATTAAAATGGTGACTCGGAAACGGAGCACGGACTCGATGAGCTGAATGGCTTCCTTCTGTGGGGGAGGTGAGTGGGATCTCCTCAGAGCTGAACTGAACTCCAAAGCTGACCAGTCAGCGCTGTCTCTCAATGCCACGTTAGGTGCTTTTAGCTGGTTAGACTCCAGTAGTTACCCTAACTCTGGGCTTCCCCCCCAGCTTTGGCTTTTGCCAACCTGTGCCTCATACTCTCCGGAATCAGGTAAGCAGGGGGCGTCCCTCCAGGGAGAGAGAGAGAGAGAGAGAGCGCATTCCATTCCAGCAATCTCTCTGGGGTTTCAAATGTGTAGGTGGGATACATGGTTTGGTTTGGATGCTCCTAAGTACGGTGATGGGTTTCCGTGAGTCAGAAACCCGGCTGACCAGCAAAACCCTTGTGCTGACAGGTTGTTACACACAGAATAGAACATGGGTTCCTTGCCCTCTCCCTCAGCTGCCTCTCCTACCTTTGCCACCTCACCTCGTCACCTCTCATCCCTGGCTCAGCATTCAACCTGTCACTGTCACTCGCTCTGACAGTTTACCTTAAACAAAAGTTTTTGTTAATTATCTGTACATTTTCCGCGAAGCGACAGCCCCACAAACAGCCATGGATTGTGTGACCCAAATTTTTTTTTTTTTTAGATTTTATTTTAATATTTCTTGAGGAGGGATTATATTACCCACAGAAAAGCGATCTGCCTCATTGTTCCTGCTCACTGCTGGTAAACAGAGGCGTCAGTGTGTGTGCGTGTGTGTGGGGAGTAAGGAAACTTGACCAATGTTTCTCCCTGACTGGCCTGGCAATCAAACCCAGGTCCTCTTGCTTGTGAGGCAAGGGCTCTAACCGCTGAGCTACAGGACCCCACTTCATACTGAGCTCACGGCCAATTAGCATTTAATCGTGTAGCCGTGCTGTACGAGCAAGTGCCACCTAAAGCTGGTGCGAGGTAATCAATCAGCTGCCATTTGCCTTTCACGACTTTGTCATTGTGAATTCAGTCGTCACCCATTTCCCAAAACTCGGACTGGATTTGGAGACGGTTTCTTCCCTCCCTCCCCCTCCAAATATAATAATCCTTGCATTTGACATGGCCCCTTATCACATCTCAAAGCGCTTCACAGGATTGAGGGCGAAGTAGTAACTTTGTGATTTGTGGGCAAAGCACGGCAGCCAGTTTGCGCTCAGAGACATCCCAGCCGTGAAGTGAGTGAGTGATCTTATCTGGGGATTGTTAGCCAGGACACCAGGAGAGAGAGAAACTTTACCTCAGCGACGCCCATGGGAGATCTTTAACGTCTGCCCTGAACAGGGCACAGACAGGGAATGAGGTTTAACGTCTCATCTGAAAAGGATGGCATCTCCGACAACACAACTCTCTCTCTCTCTCCACCTCCCACCCTGGGCTGGAGCATCAGCCTGGACTGTGAGCTCAGTGTCCCTGACGTGTGTGGGTGCTCAAACCCACAACTTCCTGACTCGGGGGAGCGAGCGACTGAGACAATCTGATGCTTGGTTGCTTAACCCAGAAATGGTAGCTGTGAAAGAAAGGATTTAAAACAACCGCAATGTTCGAACACCTTGGACTCGCTGTGATGCTGTTTAATAAAGAAAACCCCAATTTTGAGATTGACACGGAGGTGCATCTCATTTAACTTCGCAGATAAACAATCCTGGGCCTCGCAGGAGGGGAGAGAGGGGGGGAGAGAGAGTGTGATCTACAGCCGTGTAGCAAACACCCAAGGTTTGACTGTTGCTTTGGACACTGGTCCTCAGAGAATGTGCTCCCAGACTGTTTGCCATCGCAGCGTAGATTAGAGACAGACCAGTGGTCACCGGGAGCCTTGTGTGTGCGTTGTGACATGTGTGTGTGCGTTAGTGTGTGTGTTGGGGGGTGGGTGTGTGTTGGGGGGGGGAATGTGTGTGTGTTGGGGGGGGGTGTTAGGGTGTGTATGTGTGTACTGAAAGGGTGAGATCGGATGTTAACCCCTTGTCATAGCCGAGCTGGGAAGGCAAACAGCACAAGTCCGTCACCTGCCCATGGACTGTCCACAGAGAGACACGTGACAGTAATCGGATCAGCCAGTCCATCTCCCTTCATACACTCACTGTCCACATCCCCACCTGACATTGGGAGCGGAGCTGGTGTGAAGGACAGAGAGAGACTGGTGAGGACAGTGAGGGTGGAAGTCTGACCCTCTCACAGTCTCCCTGGAGAGGCTGAGGTACAGGTGGGATCAGAACGGATGTGCATTAGTGTTAATGACTTTATTACATACAGACAGTGACGATCAGAGTAAGCAATCAGACATACAGGGTGGGGTGTCAGCGAGGCTAGGCCAATCCCATCTCTTCCAGGACGCTGCGTGGAGATTCATCATCCTGTGGAGCAAAGACACAGAGTACAGTTACAGTGCAGGATATATACAATAATGTGCATTATACTACAGGAAATATAATACCACAACAAAAAATGTGCATCGTTACAAACTGTTGCTGTCTGGAACCCACAGTCTGAAAGGCTGGTGGGAGCAGATTTGATCGTAGTTTTCAAAAGAGAATAAGATAGATACTTAAAAAGGAACAATGTGCAAGGCTATGGGGTAAGAGCGGGGGAGCAGGGCTAGTTGGGGTAAGAGAGGGGGAGTGGGACTAGTTGGCAGCTCTTTCAAGGAGATGGCGCAGGCTCAATGGGCAGAATGGCCTCCCTCTGTGCTGTAAAATTCTTTGATTCTATGATTTATAGCACGTCCTTCAAGCAGGGCAGCGTCTCGGAGCCCTAAATGCACTATATACACACACGCGCGCGCACACATACATACACACACACACACAAGTTCCTATTTTATGTATTAGCATTTAAACTACATCAATTGCGAGGACTGTAATAATAAAGATCCCCTTCAATCCAGAGAGATGCAGACCCAGTACGAGGTCAGGTTACCCCCCCACCCCCCCAGCCAATCGCCCCCCCAATAGTCAGTGGCCAATATTGCCCTCAGTGTTATAGGTGGAACCATAGACAAGGTGAGAGGAGACTGGCAAGTCATGTTCTCCCCCTAGTGGACAATCACGGAAAGCACAATCAGTCATAAATAATAATAATAATCCTTGTATCTGACCCAGCGCCTTATCACGTGACGTCTCAAAGCGCTTCACAGGGTCCACTGTTAAGTGTAGTGACTGTATATTTTGTTGGTTAAACAAGGCAGCCAACCATAATCTTTGTACCCTATCACGTCGCTCAGAAAGTGCTTCATCGAATTTACTGTAAGGTGTGACGACTGAATAATTTAGTCTGGGGGAGACTGTCGGCCAGGATACTGGGAGAGACAGAGAGAGAGACACGACATTCCCTTCTCGCCGCGGGAGATCTTTAACGTCCGCCTTGAACAGAGCACAGACGGGGAGTGAGTGAGGTTTAACAAGAGAGGGAGTGCCTGCAGAGTGGAGGGAGAGAGGGAGGGGAGAGGGGGGTTGGAGTGAGAACTGGGGGAGAGTGGGGGAGGGGTTGCTGAGGGAGGGGGGCGAGTGGGCGGGGGGGGGGGGGCAAGGGAAAACCTACCTCCTGTAGGAGGTCCGACTGCTCAATGGCTTTCAGCACATTTTTTTTGGAGGTGTCCTGTATTTCTCCGCCCATGATAAACTCGTCCAGGATGAAGTAGGCCTTCTCAAAGTTGAAGATGATGTCCAGTTCGCACACCTGCAAACAGAGCACAGGCAGAACCTGACGCCAAACCAGGAAAAGGCTGGGTGGCTGAATGGCCCTGTTCCTGTTTCCCGGAATCACAGCAACGCTGAACCAGGCAACAGGAACAGTGGGCCATTCGGCTCATCACATTCATTATAATAATAATAATAATCCTGGCCTTCGGTACAACACAACACCTCATCACATCATCGAGACATCTCAAAGCCCTTCACTGGATACACTGCCAAGTGCAGTGACTGTTTTGTGGGCGAAGCGTGGTAGCCAATTGTGCACAACGACGTCTCACAAACAGTCCCAGAAAAGAGCTCCGCCAGTCTGCTAACAAGCGGGTTCTTCCTTACTGCTGGTAAACAGAGGCATGTGTGTGTGTGTGTGTGTGTGTGTGTGTGTGGAGTAAGAAAACTTGCCTTAGGTTTTTCCCTGACCTGTCCCGCCTGGGAATCAAACCTGGGTCCTCTCGAGGCAAGGGATCTAATCCCTGAGCTGCAGGATGATGATGACCCCAACCCCCCCCCACCCCCCGCCCTGTGAGGTGACAGAGTCCAGACACTTGTGAGCAGCAAAGGCTGGAGTTTATCCTATCCCGATGACCGTTACCCGTGGTGAAGCTGAGCAAAGTTACTTACGCTTCCAAAGTACTTGTCCAGAAGCTCCACGTAGCGATGGATCAGCTCCAGCGTCAGAAGCTCGTTGTCCTGATCCTCAATCGCACAACAGAAATACAGACTGGCGTACCTGCGGAGAGGGGCAGGGTCAGGGTCAGCCAGGGCCCTCACAGGGCTCAGACACACTGTTACCCCTCCCCCCCCATTCTTCTCCCCTTTCCTCCCCCCTCCTCTCCTCTCCACCCTCACAGAGATTCACAGCGCAGAAGGTGGCCATTCGGCCCCATCGTATCTGTGCCTGCTCCTTTAAGAGCATTGCTTTCAGTACATTTACAGTGCGTTCACTGGGGGGAGTGAGGACACAAGGCAGCCATTGCTGTGAACACCGGGAGGAGGGAACGGGTGGGTGGGGGGGGGGGGGGGGCAGGATCTGAACCTCTTGTAGACGATCTTCAGGTCCTTCCACTCCAGGAAGCTGCACATCTTGGGTTTGCGGCTGAGCACAATCTGCATCAGCTCCCGGCCGACTTTCTTCTTCTCCTTCTCGGATGTGGCCACGTACCATTTCTGTAACCTCAGCTTCCCCTGGCGGCTAAACAGCAGCATGAACCGCATCTGTGAGAGGGAGAGAGAGGAGGGAGAGAGATGGGGGGAGAGAGAAAGAGAGAGGGGGGAGGGAGAGAGAGAGAGAGGGGAGGAGGGAGAGAGAGAGTGGGGGAGAGAGAGAGGGGGGAGGGAGAGAGGGGGGAAGGGAGGGAGGGAGAGAGGGAGCGAGGGAGGGAGAGAGAGGGGGGGAGGGAGAGAGAGGGGGGGAGGGAGAGAGAGGGCAGGTGGGAGGGAGGAAGGGAGAGAGAAGGAGAGTGAGGGAGGAAGAGAGAGAATGAGTGAGTACATGAGTGTGTGAATGTGTGAGCGAGTGTGTTAGTGAGTGTGTGAGTGAGCGAGTGTGAGTGTCGGAGTGATAGGCAGAGAGAGAGAGAGAAAACATTTTGACATTTACACCTTTTCACATTGGGAGGACGTCCCAAAGAGTTTAACAGTACTCGCTTGATAAATATTGTGAAGATGGGGTGAGGTGGGGGGGTGGGGGTGGGGGGGGGGGGGCAGCCGAGGGGGAGTGGGGGAACCGAGGGGAAGGCGACCAAAACGCGGTCAAAGAAGTAGGTCTTGAGATGTGTGGGACAGACGTCAGGTGAAAGTCACTGCTTAAACTGAGAGAAGCGCAGCACAGCAAACAAGCGAAGCATTAAACCCTGGAACATTACATTTTACTGCGTGTAAATCACGGGACAGAGTTTTATCTCATTGCTGCTCAGCTGTTTAAACTGTTCTATTATATTAAACTAATATAGATAAAGGGTCAGCTCAGGAAGCCAAACCACAAGATACAGTTTACTTCTATATTAACATCTCAGAACTGTTTACATAGCGGTTGGGTAGTGAGCTGTAGAGAAGAGTTTCTCTCTCCAGGTTTCCTGACCAACAATTCCCTCCAGATAAAATCAGCCATTCACTGTCGGCAGTTTTTGACAAATAATAATAATCCCAGCACCTTATCACATCTTCGAGACGTCTCAAAGCGCTTCACGGCATAGAGTAAAGTGTAGTGACTGTATGTTTTGTGGGCGAAACGCAGCAGCCAATTGCGCACAGCAGTGTCCCACAAACAGTCGTGGATCAAGGGGCCAAATTATTATTTTTTTAAAGGGATTATTACCCCCGGGAAAACGAAATTGACTAACGAGAGGGTTCCTACTTCCTGCTGGTAAACAGAGGAGTGTGTGTGTGGGCGGGGGGGGGAGGAGTAAGTAAATTTGCCTAAGGTTTCGCCATGACCTGACCCGCCCGGGAATCAAACCCAGGTCCTCTCGCTTTCGAGGCGAATGCTCTAACCACTAATACACAATTGGTAAATATTTCGGTGAACCTTGTGGGGCGGTTTGAGACGTCTTGGTGGTGTGATACAGCGAGATATCAAACACGAGGATCCTATTATCATAATCCTCACAGTATTAATTTGTGTGAAGAGTAGCGTTGCAATCATCCCCTTCAATTCAGCACAAGTGTGTCAGTCAGGGTGAGGCACTAAATTATGAATCTAGGTCAGTCTGACACCGTGGCTGTATATTCAGGCACAAACACATACACTGCAGGTACAGCTGGGGAAACTAATCTAAAACGCGGTCAAAGAGGAAGGACTTGAGGAGGACTTTGAAGGACTCTGCCTCGAACACACCCCACCAGTTTCCTTGCTCAGGGTCAAGTCCCAACCATGTCACGAACCGGGGTGTGAAGGACGCTGTGTAAATGCAAATTCTTCACTTTAAATACATTGCCCCTACGCCCAGACACTCTGGAACGCTCTTCCTCTATCCCTTCGCCTCGCCCCCTTCTTCCTTCCCTATCCTGAAGACGTCCTCTTCGACCGTACCTAAGGTCACCTTCCCCCCCCCTCCCCGGGCCCGATGTCGTGCTCAGCCACTGTCAGGCGCTCTGGGGCGCTAACCTGGCGTGAGGAGTGCTGCTGTGTAAATGCAAGTTGTTTTTTCGCAGCTGCCTGGCTCCAACGCAGTCTGTATAATCCCCACCCCCACAGCCGCCCTCGGGCCAGATTGATGGCATTTTCAAGAAAAACACAACCCAATTAACGCTAGGAAAGAATTCTGCCAGAAACTTTGAAAAGAATTGATCGCTATGTGTGAGTTTTACGTCTCCTCGTTATACGATCAAGAGACATTTACAGCTCAGGAGGCCATTCAGCCCCGAGCCTCTCCCCATCTCCCAGAGTGCCAGCCCACTGCCCGAAAAATAATAACAATACTCGCATTTGGTTCAGCATTTTCTGGAGGAAAGATACTTAATCCTCTTTAGGTGCACATTAAATGTGGAAAAGCGAAGGGAGTTCCTCTCTCCTGACCAACAATAACCCCAAATAAAATCCAGAGAACAGAATTCAAAATCTTTGCCCTCACCTTCAAAGCCCTCCACAGCCTTGCTCCTTCCTACCTCGGCTAACCCCATATTAACCTGTCCGTTCCCTCCACTCAGTGGGCTCCGGCCCACCCCACCATCAGCAGTCAGGCCTTCAGCATCTCTGCCCCACTCTCTGGACCTCCATCCCACAGTTCTTTTGCCTCACTCCCTCCCTCCCTCGCCTCCTTCAAGGCCCATCTCAAGACCATCCTCTTTGAACAACCGTGCTTTCGGTCACCCTCCTACCCTCCCTGCCCAACCCCCGATCCCAAACCCCAGCTCGGGTCCGAATCCCTGACTGTCCACTCACTGGGGACGTCCTCCTGACATGAAAGGCTCCGTTTAATGTTATTTGATGTTGCTGCTGTGCATAATTGGCTGCCGCGATCGTTTACAAAATACAGTCACTGCGCTCTCAATTGTGAAGCGCTTTGAGACGTCTCCGTGGTGTGAAAGGCGCTTTACGACGCAATTTGCTGTTGTCTTCCTGGCGCTGCATCAAACGCAAGCATTATTATGTGATATTATTATTAGAAACTTTCCAACAAGCTCTCAATAAATTGGTCTCTCTCCCTTAAACCAATTTGTTGAATACATTACAAATAAATTGGCATTAGATTAAGGCAGTAATTGAATCTCTCGGCCGCATTCATGAAGTATTTAAAGGCGCGTGGGCTTAGAGCAATTCCAGCTGCTTGACTGAGTTGGTGCCTTTCATCTCCCTGCCAGACACCTAGTGTTCCTAGCGAAGGCAACTGCCATAAGATTGTAACAGATCACAGCCCACGATAGAAACCGACGAGAGCAGAGACCTGCACCTGGACAATTCAAATCCAAAAACACTGACCCGTCCACTTCCTCCAGCCGGTCAGACCCCACGTGGAGAATTGTGTCCGGTTTTGGGGCAGCAATCAAAGGAAGGTTACACCAGCCTTGGACACCCGTCCAGCAAAGGTTCCCGAGATTAATACTAGGGTTTAACGAGCTTAGCTGTAATAAGAGGCTGAGTAGACTGGGGTTATATTGCTTACAGCAAAGAAGGTTAAGGCGTGATTGAGGTGCGTAAAATAATGAGAGGAATTGGCAGGTTAGACAGTGGAAGGACTTCCTTTGATAGCGGGATCTGTTATGAGGGAACAGAGCCTCAAATACGGATTTAGGACAATTAAAAACAAGGTCAGGGAGCCTTTCCTCACGGAGGCTGGTGAGGATGTGGAACCAATCCTCACCAGAAAGCTTTCGAGGCAGAATCGATCAGGAGGTTTAACGGAGAGGGGGGGGGGGGGGTGCAGAGAGTCAGGAGCAAAGGGGTGAAAGGATGTGGTAAAAAGGGCAAGTGTCGGCATTAAAAGATCTGACAAGATCTAAAACTGGTCAATGCCAGGTTTAACAATATCCCAAACAGACCTCCCCTCCCACACACCTTTCCAGCTGCCCCCCCACCCCCAACGCCACTCTCTTCCTCCTCTTCAACCCCTCGTTTGTTAGCAGTTGGATGACTGTTTTCCAAGGCTAACAATCCCTCCACTGGTCACTCAATCCACGACTGTTTGTGCATCACTGCTGTGCGCAACTGGCTGACGCGTTTCGCCCACAAAAATACACAGTCACTACACTTTACAGTATATTCTGTGAAGCGCTTTGAGACGTCTCAACGCCGTGATAAGGCGCTGTTTCAAATTAGTATTATGACATTATGATTAAATAGAGAGTGAGAAAAAGAGAGACAGAGTCAGACACACAGACACACACAGCGTGAGACACACACAGACACAGTGTGAGACACATACACACACACACACACAGTGTGAGACACACACAGACACAGTGTGAGACACATACACACACACACAGTGTGAGACACATACACACACACAGTGTGAGACAGACACAGACACAGTGTGAGACACATACACACACACAGACAGTGTGAGACACACACAGACACAGTGTGAGACACATACACACACACACAGTGTGAGACACATACACACACACACAGTGTGAGACACACACAGACACAGTGCGAGACACACACAGTGACAGAGAGACACAGACAGGTGGACAGTGTGAGACACAGTGACACACAGTGAGACAGATTCTGCAGGTGAGGTGAGCCATGTCACCTGCTGACGTCAGCGCCACACCTGGCGCAGGTGAGTGAGTGAGTGAGTGAGTGAGTGAGGCTTCCTGTCCCCCTCCCCCTCCCCCCCACTCACCATGTTCCGCCGCTGACCTTCGCCGCCGCCGCCGCTTTGCTCTGTATTTTGCTCCCGAGAACTTCCCCTCCTCCGGGGCCGCCCTCCCTCCCTCCCTCCCTCACTCCTTCCCTCACTCCCTCCCTCACTCAGCCATCAGCGCTGAGCTGCTCCCCACCCGCCGCCTCCTCCCTCCCTCCTTCCTCTCGGGTGCCCTCTGCGCAGGCGCCGTACGCCCCCGGGCCGGCGCTCGGGTGTCCGTCAGGTGGCTCTTCGCCCCCCCCCCCCCACCAACCCGGGTTCGGGTATTTCCGTCACCCCTCGGGTGTTTCCGGCAAGTGGCTCCTGGCTTCGACCAGCCATCGGCTGTTTTCGGGCCCTGGCTCCCTCCAGCCACTCGCTCCTGTCTCTTTCCCGCCCTTCTTTGCTTCAGTGTCCCTCCCAATCCAACGCCACCGCCGCCCTGGGCCAGCCGCACCACTTGACATTTGACACCACCCCTCCTCTTCCTTCTCCATCTTCCCTGGGCACTGCACTGCGCAGGCGCTCGGGTATTTCCGGCCGCGCTCGGGTATTTCCGGCCGCGCTCGGGTATTTCCGGCCGCGCTCGGGTATTTCCGTCTCCAGAGGCGCCAAACCCGAGAAAGGCGTTGCCATGGAAACCGGGGCGACGTTTATTTATTATTATTATTAAAACTCCAACTCTGTGGGAAACCATCGAATGATATAATATCATATATCCTCGTCAATAATCCCGGGGTCTGGGGCATGTTCCTGACTGTGCGCTGAGGGGTGGGGGGCTCCTGAGCCGGGGTGGGGTGCGGGGGGTTCCACATATTCCAGGCGACCGGCTCGTGGGAGCAGATACAAGGACGTCGGCCGTGCGTTCGCGGTGACATTATTCCTGGGTCCTGTGTTGACTTGGGGGACGGTGAAAGTTGAGGGGAAACCTGACCAAACCCTTTGGACCGGCCGAAATCCCGGCTCCACCACCGCCAGGCGCTTCGCAAGGTTTTGCTGTGAAGTGTCGCAGTTGGGTATACTATCGGCCAAACCTGGCAGATAAGTTGTGGGCAGCCACATCCCACAAGCAGCCGGGAAGCAAACAACCAATTTTATTTGGGGGGTTGTTGGCCAGGACACTGGGGGAGAGAGAGGAAACTCCCTTCTCTTTTCCAATCGCGTTGCAGGATCTTCAACGTCCACCGGAACAGGCACAGACGGGACCTCGACTTGACGTCTCATCCGAAGCATGTCATCTCCGACAATACAGTTTCCCCGAGCACCGCATTGGAGCGCCAGCTTAGACTCTGATTCCGAGCCCTAGCGTGGGGGGGGGCTTGAACCCACAACCTTCTGACGCAGAGGCGGTGAGAGCCAGGCTGACACTCCACATAAATGCAAGTCATTGATGTTAACGTCTTTCCTGAAGTGAGGTTCCCCAAAATGGTCTCTCTGTGACCCACAGGGTAGTTATTACTGCAGTTGACTGATTGCTCACTGAAGCTTGACGGACCATCGCTGTGTGTCTGTCACGGTATGTGATTGCGCTATTAATACCTCCTGCCTGAGGTCTCTCCCTGCTTTGACCGAGGCTGTGTTTAGTACACATGTGAGCGAGTGGCTGCTGTGCTTTGGACAAACCTTACATCGCAAACTGTTGTGAGCAGTCTGATCTTCTGGCTCCACATCACGGGTGCTCTTTGATCTCAGCGCACAGTCAGGAACATGCAACATGGAAACTAATTGACTTACGTCTCGTCTGTGTCCGTTCTCTCCAACACTCCCTGTTTTATCCGGTCACTGCCTTTTTTTTATTATAATAATCAGTGGAATTTGATAATAATTAATAATAATCCTTGCATTTGGTGCAGCGCCTTATCATGCTGTTCAGACGTTTCAAATAGCTTCACGGGATTTTGCTATGAAGTGTAGTGACTGTGCATCTTGTAGGCAGCTAATTTTGCACAAGGCAATGAAGCGAATGAGTGATTTTATTTGGCCCTTTTGGGGTTGTGATCTTTCCACCACTGCTCTATCTCTGTCTTTCCTGCAGTGTGGAGAGCAGATGATCTCTGTGGCCTCTGGAAACTAATTCCCTGACCAGTGAAATAGCTTCTCCCCATTTGCCCTAAACGCTCCTAGTTTTGCTTCCATTACCATTGTTTTGGAACATGAAGGTTATTGAGTTCAAAGTTCTGACGTGTGGGCTTGAAGCCACAGCTTTCTGACTCACAGGTGAGCGTGCCTACCTACCGAGGGAAACCAGGCTGACATATTGGCCATTGCCTCACTTACCAGCCCTGAGCAGTCAAACTCATTCATCCCAAGGCATAAAACCTCCTGTCACACCAGATGCTGCTCACACCTGCAGGAAGTGGTTAGTTGGAAACCAGCCGAGACGCTGGGTGGGAGGGAGGGGTTTGTACCCAGAGGCAAAGGTTTGGAGTTTTCAGTAACTACAACAGGACGGCACCTGGCTCCACTCCATGAAGGAGCTTGTATTTTCATAGCCGATTCTTAACGTCTCAAAGGAGTTGAGCAACTTGTTAAATTGAGGACTTTTCGTTGGCAACTTAACTGCAAATCCCGACAACTTCGCGATTTATAGTCTTGTGTTTGACACGGCCCCTTATCACGTCGTCAAGACATCTCAAAACGCTTCACGGGTTTTTTATTGTAAAGTGTGGTGATGATGTGTTTTGTGGCGAACGAGGCAACCAATTTGCACACAGAGAAGTCCCCGCAAACAGCCATGAAGTGAGTGTATGAATTTATCTGGGGCATTTTCGGCCAGGACACCGAGAGAGAAACTCCCTTCTCTTTTCCCCAACAGTACCACGGGAGATCTTTAACATTCGCCTAAATGAAGCACAGTCTTTAAGGTTTAACGTCTCATCCGAAAGATGGCATCTCTGCCAATGCGGCACTCTCTCTTGCTCTTTATCTCTTTACCCCCAGCGCTGTGCTGGAGTGTCAGCCTGGACTGTGAGCTCAGAGTTGTTGACTTGGGGGCTCGAGCCCACAACCTCCTGAACCCAATGGCCAGAGCAGGAACCAAACAGCAGAAATAGATCAACGAGACAGATGACAGGCGGGGAAGATTCCTGGGACCGTTTATTATCACCAATGTTACACACCCATTTGGAATTTCATTGCATTTTCAGTCATTCAGTCACACATCGATATAGCTTTCTAAAAATAAATTAAATGCATTCAAAAATATATTAACCGCAACGTTTTGTAAGAGAGAAGCTTTCTTAGGCTATATCAGTGCACGACCAAGGTAGAAATGTAAGTTAAGAGACAGTTCAGCCCACAATATAGATGGAGGAAGGACGGATTGGCTAGTAATAATAATCCTGGCATTTTACACAGCACCTTTCGCATCAGGAAGATGTCTCTAAGCCTTTCACAGGATTCACAGCGACGTCCCACCACCAGCTGTGAAGTGAGCGAGTGATTTTATCTGGGAGATTGTCAGCCGGGAGAGAGCGAGAGAGAAACTCCCGTTTTTCCCCAACCACCACAGGAGATCTTTAACATCCTCCCAAACAAGGCGCAGAGGGAGAGGGTGAGGTATAACATCTCTGACAATGTCCCGCTCTCTCTCTTTCTCCCCAGCCCTGCGCTCAGACCTCAGCCTAGACTGACTCGAACCCACAACCTGCTGACTCGCCCCGAGATGGTGGCTTTGTTGACCTGTCGGGTTGTAACATGGTGGAACTGTCGAGTGTGTGAAGCTTCCAGTTTTTGAGACAGGAACTTTTTAATAATTAATCCTTGTGATCTTTGCATTTGAGGCAGTGCCTCGTCACGTGGTCGAGACGTCTCGAAGCACTTCACAGGAGACAGTGTAGTGACTGTGCATTTTGTACTCTGAAAACAGACTAGCCACAAAGCCGTGTGTGTGTGTGTGTTTGTGTGTATAAATGTGTGTGAGTGGAGGGAGTGTGATGAACTGGGAACCATCTCTGTATAAAGTTCACTTAATATACAGTGTGTGCTTGTGTGAGTGAGCGAGAGGTAGACAGCTGCAGGGAAACCAGTTAGCCGAGCCTGAGAGGCAGAGAAGGATCGTGGACTGAGATCCAGAGCAGACAAGGGACATAGGGAAGGCAGAGAACAGAGAGCGTCCAATCTGCTGAAATCGATGCCTGCAGGCCTTTCTTGACAGATGATTTTCCCGCTCAGTTCTGGTCCACGTCCCCCCCAGTGTCCAGCCACTGCTGAACGTTCCCTGTGGAGACAGCCTGCGTCTAGGGCTCCATGACTTGGCCAGAGAACAACACAGCGCCTGGAAAACAGAGTCAGCAACATTCAAACTAAAACCCAACTCTTATTCAGCGTCACATCATCATAATAATGATAATCCTTCAATGGATACCATGATTTTCACGTCAAGAGGACGTCTCAAAGCGCTTCATAGGAACAGGAGGAGGCCATTCAGCCCCTCGAGCCTGTTCTGCCATCCTATAAGATCGTGGCTGATCTGTACCTCAACTCCATTTACCCGTCTTTGCCCCGTATCCCTTGATACCCTGACGTAACAAACATCTACCCACCTCAGTCTGGATAGAATTCACTATAAAGTGTTTTGTGTAGTGACTGAGTGTTTTGTGGGTGAATGCGGCAGCCAGTTTGCGCACAGTGACGTCCCCACAAACAGCTGTGAAGTGACTGAGTGAGTTGTTCTCTGTAGGGAAGCGAGTGTGTCTGGCGCAAGCTTACGATGTGGGGAACAGCTCTGTGAGGTGTTAGCGTTTCTCACCTGTGGGGTTGTGTCTGATGAAGAAGAGGAACGGTCTGTCCAGCACCACTTCCAAAGGAGCCATCCGTGCGTATAGGATAGCAGCTGGGAAAGAGGGGAAACAGCATCAAGATCAGTCCTGAAATAGTCCTTTACCCCCTGACAAGGGCCCTCACCTCTGTCTGCCCACACGAAGGAGAGGATAGAGAGGAACAGAGGCTTAGACAAGCTCAGGCTCTACAGGGTTCAACAACAACAACTTGGATTATATACCCCGTCTTTCACCAGTCACTGGGGGCAGGGAATCCTTCCTCTCAACTCCTGTTAATCCTAAAGCCAAAGCTCTAACTAATTAACTAACTAACTAACTAACTAACGGGGAGGGTGGCCATAGCTGGACAAGCATTGGGAAAACTTGGGCAGACAAGCTATGTGTGGGTTTAGCTGGTTAGACTCCAGCAGTGACCTCAACGCACACTCTGGGCTCCCCCCAAGCCTTGGCTCTCCCCCAACCTGCGCCTAATACTCTGCGGAATTAGGCGAGCAGGGGGCATCCCTCCAACGAGAGAGAGGGAGAGCATTCCATGCCTGGGCAGCACTTACCGGTAGCAGATGAAGCCTTGGTTCCACTTTCGTTCACCTCCACCCTCACTTTCTGTAGTGCTTTTGACACAAAAAGTCCTTCAGTTTCTGTCGGGGGAGAGAGAGAGAGAGAGGGTCAGGCAGTGAGGGTCTGGGTCTACTCTGCAATCCAATCCCAAGCCTCTGCAAAGCTGAGCCTACAGCCCAGGCAGCGACCAGAGATCAGGACACATCATTTTCTAGCCTCCGCTGTTACACACAGCGACGTTCACATCAGGAGGACGTCTCAAAGCGCTTCACAGGATACACTGCAAAGTGTAGTGACTGTGTGTTTTGTGGGCAAAACGCGGCAGACGATTTGCGCCCAGTGGGTCTGACAAACAGCCAACAGCCCCGCGGGGGATCTTTAAATTCCGGCTGAACAGGGTACAGACCAGGAGGGAGTGAGTGACGTTTAACGTCTCACTGGAAGGATGTGACTTTAGCAAAAACAAATCCCGAGGAGGTTGTGGACGGACTTACTGCTGATCTCAGCAAAGTTGGCTTTCCCAATGTCAAACATGTCAGTCACTCCCATTTCCCGCAGTGAAGCCTTGAGATCAGTCTCGCTCTCCAGGGAAAACCTGCAACATACAGAGACCGTTAGCCCTCACACAGACACACACACACACACCCCAGCTCACACCTCACACACACCCCAGCTCACACCTCGCACACACCCCAGCTCACACCTCGCACACACACACACCCCAGCTCACACCTCGCACACACACACACAGACACACTCATGTACCTGGGGAGGACTAGTTGGCGTGTGACACGCTTCATGCTTTGAGTCCAGGTGGTGATGAGGTGGGAGGTGAGGATGTTTGTGATGGTGGAGAGTGGCTCCCGGCGACGGCATGGTGCGGCCAGCAGCATACTGAGTCTCTCGTCCCCATAGGGCAGCTCCACCACATCATAATATACCCCCCCCGGGCTGACAAACTCCCCTAGAGAGGACAGGAGAGGAGAGGGTGTCAGTGAGAAGAACCCAACCTACCCCAATCCCCAACCCCACAGCCCCATCCCCCACACCCCCTGTCAACAAGAGGAGAAATTTGTGGAGTTTTGTGTGTGTGGGAGGGGGAGGTGTATATGTGTGTGTGTGTGGTGGGGGGGTCGGGGGGGAGATGTATGTGTGTGGGGGGGGGTACACAGTTGTGCGGCTCAGACTCACCGACATTGAGCTGTGCTGTTTGCATCATCATAGTCACAGCGACGTCACTGCCGTCTTCCCGGTGAAACGCCCGCACGTGGGTTCCCTCCTCGGGGAATGGCAGCTTCCAAACCCCCTTAAAGTACAGAGCGTTTCCCAGCACCATCCGTGTTAGCCCAGAGTTCAGCATTCCCGGCTTCAGGAAATCCACGATCATATCTGGGGCAGCATAGAGCACAGTCACATTCCCGCACCACCAGCCCAGCCCCAACCAGAGTGTCACACACCCACCCTTACAGCTCCCTCTACACTGTCCGTCCGTCCAAACTCCCAGGTCAGGATAAGACACACAGTAAAGCTCCCTCTACACTGTGTGTCCACACTCCCAGGTCAGGGTTAGAGACACAGTAAAGCTCCTCTACACTGTGTGTCCACACTCCCAGGTCAGGGTTAGAGACACAGTAAAGCTCCCTCTACGCTGTGCGTCTGTCCATATTCCCAGGTCAAGGTTAGCGACGCGAGGGGAGCTGTGTAAACACTAGTTGTTGTTGTTATTATTGTTGGTGTCCTCACCTCTAGTCTGGGCTTGGACCCACTTGTTGATGATGTGAGTGGCCAGCTTGGGATTCTGGAAGAAGACTTGCTTTGGGCGGCTGTGGAAAGCCCGGCGGCAGCTCTTGACAAAGCCTCTGGTCAGCGTCATGTTTCTCTGGATGAACATGGCGTTGGCCGAGTGCACGATGTCCTGGTTAGATTTGGCCGTGATGTCCTTCTGTAGCTGCCTGATGGCAGTGGGGATGCCTTGCTCTGGAGATGGGCAGAGAGAGAGAGAAAGGGAGAGAGGGAGAGCAAAGCAGTTAATGGGAGGAACAAACACCAGCCTGGCACAGCCGGTGATGACCATGTCACCGGGTTCAGCCCTGAGGAGACACCATTTCTCTGTTGGACATGATTCTGAGCTGAGCTGAGAGTGCAATGTGGACAATAGCTGAGACTTGTGCAGTTCCCACAGTCTGCCACCAGGCGTCCTCGGTTAGCTGTGTAAATGTGCCTGTGGGTGAGTTTAACTCCATAATAATAGTAATGATCTAATAATAGTAATAATAATAGTAATAATAATAATCCTGGCATTTGATCCGGCGCCTCATCACGTCCTCCAGACGTCCCAAAGCGCTTCACAGAATACACTGTAAAGTGTAGTGTAGTGACTGTATATTTTGTGGGCGAAACGAGGCAGCCGATTGCGCCCGGCGACGTCCCCACAAACCATGGCTTGAAGTGATCAAGTGGAGACCTGTAGCTCAGTGGTTAGAGCACTCGCTTTGCAAGAGAGAGAGTTCAATTCCAGGCAGAGGGCGAAACCTCGGGCAAGTTTCCTTACTCCACACAGAGCCTAATAATAATCCTCCAAAACAAAACAATAATAAATTGGTCATTTTTAATCTACGACTGTTTGTGGGACATTGCTGTGCGCAATTGGCTGCCGCGTTCGCCCACAAATATACAGTCAATTCACTTTACAGTGTGTTCTGTGAAGCGCTTTGGGACGTCCTCCCGACGTGAAAAGCGCTATATCAAATGCAAGGATTATTATTCAGGATTATTATTATTATCAAATTATTATTATTTTTTTAAGGGATTTTTACTTCCCTGTAGATGGAGCTTTACGTACAGTGCGTGCATATGTGTGAGAGAGAGAGACACACACAGTAATATAGAGACGTGCACAGAGACAGACAGACAGACAGACAGACAGACAGACAGACAGACAGACAGACAGACAGACAGACAGACAGACAGACAGACAGACAGACAGGGTAAGATCCTGTGGGGTCTGTGGTTATATTCACCCCTCGTGGGCTCACCTTGCAGCTTGTAGCCCATGACATCCTGGAGCTGCTCCAGGGTGTGGCCCGAGGCTCCCAGCTGGACCATTCCCATCAGCGAGGACATTCCATAGGGGGAGAAGAGAACATTCCGGTCCCCGTTCGCCTGCAGGATCTCCTGGAAAACCCTCATCCCGAAATCCGTGGCCAGCTCCGACACCCGAGCATTGCTGGCCCTCGAGCAGGAGGAGGCGAGGACCAGCAGCACACACACCAGGGCCGTCGTCCTAATCATCATCGGCCTGGACAACAACAACAACAACAGCATTTACACAGCGCCCTTCACCCAGAGCTCTTCACTGAGCTGCAGACTGACCCCGACCCAAGGGGAGAGGAGGGGGTTGAGGGGGAAGGTGACCGTCCATCAAAAAAGGAAGGTCTTTAGGCGGGATTTGAAGGATAAACAGGAAGCCTGGAGCCGGTTCAATGTGTGATCACATCAACAGAAGTCGCAGCGATTTCACACAGAGAGTTGAGTGTAGTGACTGTTATTGTGGACATTAAGATTTGTAACTATGGGTTTGCTCTGACTCTGAGTGTGTGTGCGTGTGTATGACTGTGTGTATAATGTCTCTCTCACTGTATATGTTTCTCTCTCTCTCTCTCTTTGGACGTGTATATTGTATTGGATGTTCGGGCGCACATTAAAGATCTCCCGGAGTTTCTCTCTCTCTCTCCGATATCCTGGATCGACAATCCCCCCGATAAAATCACTCGCTCACTTCACAGTTATTTGCAGGGATGTTGCTGTGCAAATCGGCTGCCGTGTTTCGTCCACAAAACAGTCACTACACTTTACATTAAAAATCCTGTGCAGCACTTTGAGACACCCTCCTGACATAAAAGGCACTGGATCAAAGTCACAAGATTTATTATTATTACTAAACTAGACACAGCGCTGCACTGGAACATCAGCCTGGACCGTGAGCTCAAAGCCCCCGACATGTGTCGGGCTCAAACCCACAACCTCCTGACTCACAGGGGAGGGAGCGTGGGACTGAGAGGCAATTCATGCGGATCAAAGGGATTTCATAGTTAGTCTGTTTCAGCGCGAGATCGAGGCAGTCACCAACACTAAACTCTCGGTTTTGTCCTTTAGGATTTGACAATTCCCAATCCCACTGCCACCACCAGCGAAGCTCCAGCTCACGCTAGTCGGACGTCAAACTACCAACCAGTGACTGTCCTCCTGGGGAGGAGGTAAGTGGAGACGCCTGAACTGGCCCCAAAGTGACCCAAATGACGGAATCGGTCCAACCCACTGTGACGGTCTCCAGGCAGGTTCCTGAGCCAGGTGGGTCCACAGTATTCCTGGGAACTCACTGCTGATGGCAGCACAACCCGCCCTGGCTCATCAGCACAGCCCAGCCTGGAAGGGCCGACTAGTCACTGGGGGGAGGGAATCCTCCCCCTCAGCTCTTGTTAACCGCGCAGCCAAAGCCCTCACTAATAATAATAATAAGGGGGGTCCTCGCTGGACAAGCAGCGGTAAAGCTTGGCCAGACAGCGCCTCTCTTTCTCGATGGCCAAGCTCTGCGTGGGTTTAGCTGGTTAGATCCCAGCAGTTACCCCCCAACTCCCACTCTGGGCTCCCCCCAAAAGCCTTGGCTCTCGCCAACCAACCTGCGCCTAACACTCTCCGGAATTAGGTAAACAGGGAGGACGTCCCTCCAGGGGGAGAGAGAGAGAATGCGCGCGTTCCATTCCACACTTGAAATTTCCGTGGTCCGTGACCTACAGTCTGGTTTGGAGAGTCTTAAGCACAGTGATGGTTGTCCAAGTGTGCAGGACACAGAGAGAGAACCCCCCCTTCTCTTTGCCCCCACCCCCGACAACTTCGTGTGAGATCTTTAATGTCTGCCCTGAACGAGGCACAGACGGGAGAGTGAGCGATGCTTAACGTCTCAGCTGAAGGACGGCATCTCCAACAATGCAGTGTTCTCTCCCTCTTTCTCTCTCTGCCTCTTGCTCTCTCTCTCTCTACCACCCCCCCACTCCCACCCCCTCCAGGGTTGAACTGGAACGTCAACAACAACTTGCAATTATATAGCACTCCCTCACACAGGGTAGCGTCCCAGAGCGTCAAAGCTGTGAGCGCAAAGCTGCGAGGCAACACTGCAGTGTCGATGGTCCGATGGGGGCAGCAGCGATGGACAAGGTGAGGCACAGAGAGAGAGAGCAACAGCGCACACAGCGCGTAAATGCAAAGGCTTTCGATGACTTACTTACCTCTTAACAGCTTATCACTGATTGAAAGTTAAGTTCAAGTGAGATGAGTGGCTGCAGTAGAAGTGTTGTTGTCGTGTTGTGTTCTGCTCTCTCTCCTGTTCTTAACTGCTTTCTCCCCCTCCTCAGCCTCTTATATACATATCCCAGCGGAAGCTGAAGCTGAGTAAATCCCCCCCCACCCCCCCCCTCCACCCACTGTCAACAAGCCCACACAGGGTTTTCCCAATATTAAACCTCAAGAGCCACAGGAACCAGCCCAAGTTAACCCGTTCACCCCCACATGCCAGGCAGCTCACATTCACTTTGTCTCTGCAACAGAGCCCAATATTAATAATAACAATAATAATAATCCTGGCATTTGATACCACGCCTTATCTTGTCTTCCAGGCATCTCAAAGCGCTTCACAGGATACGCTGTAAAGTGTAGTGACTGTGTGTTTTGTGGGCAGCCAATTGCACCCAGCGACGTCCCACAAACACGTTGAGCGACCAAATTATCATTATTTATTATTTATTTTTGAAGCGATTATTATTCCAGGAAAAGCGATCTGTCAATTGACTTAACAAGCAAGTTCCAATTTACTGCTTGGTAAACAGAGGCATGTATCTGGAGTAAGGAAACTTGCCCAATGTTTCGCCCGCCCAGGAAAAATAATAATAATAATAACAATAATAATTCTTGCCTCTGATACAGCGCCTTATCTTGTCGTCTCGTGTTGTAACCACTAAGCTACAGGACGCCACACACAGTGGGCGAGTCCTGCCTCCGGTGGTGCAATGCGCTGGGCTCAGGAATAGCTTCCCATCGGAAGCGGGTGGTGTGGAGGCCGGACACACGTGGGAAGCAGTGCCGGGGTTTGGGATTCTGCTTGGACCCGGTCTGTGAACAAGTGACATGCGCCAGGGTCAATGTCTCTTTCACACTCTCTCTCTCTCTCTTTCTGTCATCCTCTTCTCCGTATCTGTGTGCGTGTATGTGTGTGCGATTGTGTGTGCGTGTGCCTGGTTGCCTGTTTGCATGTGTGGGGTCACAGCTGAGCCTGATCCTATATTCACCCAACATCCCCCCTCCCTCCACATGCATGCACATACACACAGACACACGCACAGACACACATGTGCAAGCATACACACACACAGACACACAAACACACACACACAGACACAGCCATGCATACATACACACACAGAGACACACGTACACACAAATACATACACACAGACACACGCATTTGCACACAAATGCACACATAGACACGCACACACAGAGACACACACATGTGCACACAAATACACACACACAGACACGCGCACACACAAACTCACAGACTCACACACACACACATGCAGTCATACAGGTACACACATACACAAACACACACAAACTGAATTCCCGGAGTGGATAAGATAAACATAAGTCAATGAGCTGCGAGACAGGACAAACATGAACACAACCCAGACAGACACGTCTGAACAACCAGACAAGGGTGACTAAGCGGGTCACAGCTGGACACCGCCAGATAAACACTCCTCGAGGCCCTGCCTCGCCCTCACCCTCGCCCTCACCTCATATACGTGGGAGACTCAACAAATTCCTGCCACTATCACATTCAGTGCCAGCCAGGCTCTGTGTGCACGTGTGTGTGCGTGTTAGCCTGGCTTTGTGTGTGTTTGTGTGTGTGTGTGCATGTCAGCCTGGCTCAGTGTGCGTTCGCCCACAAAACACACAGTCACTACACTTTACAGAGTATCCTGTGAAGCGCTTTGAGACGTCCTCCTGACGTGAAAGGCGCTGTGTTATTTGAGCTCTTGGCTGGGATGTTGGGGGGTGTTGGGGGAGAGGAGAAACCAATAACACAACAGGCACTAGGACTGATGGAAAGCTCCCGGCTGGAAACTGATTCAAAGCGTTCCTGCTCTGTTCCTGATCCGAGGAGCGGCAGGGAATTGGGAGCGTAGGATACCATTTATGGAGAGAGAGAGAAAGAGAGAAACTTTTGCAAACACGTGTAACGATAGCAACGGAAACAAAGCCGCATTTAAAGGGACGACAAGTCTGGTTCTCTCTCGGCAGGGATCAGACTGAAGGGAAAAGCTACAGACTCACAATCCACAAACCTCACTCACTCAATCCCCTCCCTGTCTGTGCCCTGTTAAAGATCTCCCGCCGCGCTTTTGGGGAAAAGAGAAGGAAGTTTCTCTCTCCCCCCACTCCCCGGGGTTCTGGCCAACAATCCCCCCCACCCAGATAAACTCGCTGGCTCGCTTCACAGCTGTTTGTGGGGACATCACTGTGCGCAAATCAGCTGCTGCGTAACACACAGTCACTACAGTCACTTTACCGTGAATCCTGCAAAGCGCTTTGACGTGAAAGGCGCGGTGTCAACTGAAAGGATCATCATTATTATTAAAAATAAGCAAATAATTACTATTAATAATAACGTAAAGGCAGTTTATAATTATATGCTACGTGGGATCAAACACTCGCTCTTATCCACGAGGCCTGTGTGTGCTTGAGTGATCAGGAAGGAATTCTCATCAACCCCAAACTCCCAGTGTGTGTCCAAGTAGCTCAGTGATTAGAGCCCTTGCCTCGCCTCACAAGCGAGGGGATCTGGTTTCGATATCCAGGAAGGTGAGGTCAGGACAAAACGTTGGGCAAGATTCCTTACTCCACACACTGACACACACCCACACACACCGACACACACACACATGCGCACTCACACCAGCAGTCAGTAGGAACCCGCTTGTAGGTCACTTGGTGGATTGCTTTTCCAGGAGTAAGAATTCCCCGCACCCCAACCCCCCACTCCAAAAAAAATGTGGTCACTCAATCTTTGTGGGGACGTCGCTGCCGCGTTTCGTCCACAAAGCACACCCACAGTCACCACACTTTACAGTGTATCCTGTGAAGCGCTTTGAGACGTCTACGAAGATGCGATAAGGCTTTGGGTCAGATGCAAAGATTATTATTGTTATTCACACCATCAGCTCAGGAATGCACTAGTCATTGTGTATTGGCTCAGTGTTACAGGACAAATAGTTTTACTCTCTCTCTCTCACACATCACTTGAAACACTCACTCTCCAAATAGTTCTCCAATTCCCTTGAGAATCTGATCACAACCCACTCTCCCGCCTCCTCCACATTCTCACAGTCTGAGTCAGGAGGTTGTGGGTTTGAGCCCCCAACATGTGGGGGTCTCTGAGCTCCAGTGCAGCGCTGGGGGGAGGGAGAGAGAGAGGGGGGGGAATGATGTAAGGTGTGATGGTGGGCGTGTGAGGGGTGATGGTGGGTGTGTGAGGGGTGATGGTGGGCGTGTGTGGGGTGATGGTGGGCGTGTGAGGGGTGATGGTGGGTGTGTGAGGGGTGATGGTGGATATGTGTGTGGGGTGATGGTGTGGTGTCAGGGGTGATGGTGGGTGAGGGGGTACGTGTTCACACTAGACTGGCCCCAGGGGTAGTGGGAGGTTAGTGAATGGATCTCTCTGTGTCACACACACAGCAGCTATTTCCGACATGTCACTGCTTAAAGGATTCGTAATTGGGAGAGAATAGAGACATCCTATGACTCACAGTGGAGCAGAGTGGACCAACACTGCTCATCACCCTGTCTCACCCTCACCCTCACCCTCACCCTCACAACAGCTCAGCCTGTCTCACCCTCACCCTCACCCTCACAACAGCTCAGCCTGTCTCACCCTCACCCTCACAGCAGCTCAGCCTGTCTCACCCTCACCCTCACCCTCACAACAGCTCAGCCTGTCTCACCCTCACCCTCACCCTCACAACAGCTCAGCCTGTCTCACCCTCACCCTCACAACAGCTCAGCCTGTCTCACCCTCACCCTCACCCTCACAACAGCTCAGCCTGTCTCACCCTCACCCTCACAACAGCTCAGCCTGTCTCACCCTCACCCTCACCCTCACAACAGCTCAGCCTGTCTCACCCTCACCCTCACAACAGCCTCCTTGTTTCAAAATCCCTCCTGTGTTTTGGCTCAAGAGAGTCCCTTGCTCTTCCCTCCCTCCTACACTCTACCTTCCTCACCTCCCTCCCTCCTACACTCTACACTCCTCACCTCCCTCCCTCCTACTCTACCCTCCTCACCTCCCTCCCTCCTACACTCTACACTCCTCACCTCCCTCCCTCCTACACTCTACCTTCCTCACCTCCCTCCTTCCTACACTCTACACTCCTCACCTCCCTCCTCCCTCTCTTCCTCCCACCCTCCCTTGCTCTTCCCTTCCCCCAGATTCTCAATAGAAACACCAAACGGTAAAAACAACCATGAACAAGTCTCTACAGCCTGACATCAATCCATCGCGTGACACGCACACACAAGAAGTGATTTTGCTCCCGATCATGTTTCTGGTATGTTCCTCTTATCAAATATCTGCACAAACCACCTTATCTTTGGGATATTTCACACTCCTGATAATAATCCCTCACGAAAAAACAATAATAAATTGCTCATTTCAATCCACGTTTGTGGAACAGATACTGCTGTGTGCAATTGGTGCCGTGTTTCACCCACAAATATACACTCACTACACTTTGCAGTCTATTCTGTGAAGCGCTTTGAGACGTCTCAACGACCTGATAAGGTGCTGTATCAAATACAAGGATTATTATTATTAGTGACTGTTCGCCTGTGGGAGGGGGGGATGTCTCAAAGTGCTTTTCAGGATTGCAACGTAAAGTGTAGTGACTGTGTGTTTCACAGCCGAGTTATGCTCAGCGATGAAGTGAACAAGTGATTTTATCGGAGGATGATTGGTCTGAAAGGAAGGTCTTGAGACCGGCCTTGAAGGAGGCGAGGGAGGGGGGCAAGAGGAAGGAGGGGGCGAGGATGGAGTTCCAGAGCACGGGGGCAGAGAGGCTGAAGGCCTGACCACTGATGAGAAAATAGCAATGTCACAGCTTATTGTAATGACCGCGTCGGATGTCAGAGCTGATCTGAGGCTCCCTCACACGGCTTAGCCTTTGACACAGTGAGTTCCAATCATGTTGGGATGAATTCAAACA